AAAAAAAACAGAAGTATTGTTTTGGTCTCATGAAAGGCAGATGGGCTACTGGCCAAGCCACACTGAGGCCCTGAGAACTTGGTTCCAATGCCATAGATACGTGAGAAAAGAGGTAAAATCATACTAGGGCAAACAGAGGTAGATGACTAAAAGTTCCTGTGCTGGGAACCATGTCACATTCCTGGGAAACCTAGAGACTGGCCTACCTGTGTCCCTTGGAGCAGACTGACCACTAAGCGGACACCCCTTCAGCAAACAGCCTCTCACCAGAACTCCCCATCCTCTGCTTTCTTGTCCAGCTCTTCCTTCTTCCTGGGGTCTATGTAATTCCATTCAGGGGCACTGTGGGGAAAAAAATGAATCAGAGGTGTTCATTCCTGAGAGACAAGCTGTTTACTGCAGCTAACTGTCCCCCAGAGGGTCACACGTGGGATGCCACCCATCAAGAAAAGCAGCAGCTGCCAAGGCAGGCTGGATCTGGTGTGGGGCACTGTATCCTTTGAGGGGTGGATGGCAAGGATATGGGTGCCTGCAGATGGCCTGGGCACACAGTGGAAACACGATGTTCTTACTCTAATTTTCACTCTCTGGGTGAGTTTTACATTCCAATTAAGACTCACAAACCTCTGACTGCAGGATGAGGGGTTCTGTCACAAGAAAGACACACTCCAGTACCCATTAGTAATCTGGCATGCCCGTCTTCTATCAGTCTGGGGTGAATTACTCTAAGAAGGCCCAACAAGCTCTGGGTACATGGACACTGTCCACTTCCAAACTTGAAACTTTGATTATCAGACCCAGTTTCACAGCAATCTCCCTGAAGTAATGTTACCCTGAGGTGTCCTGCTGCTAGTCTTTCCTCTGGCAGTACCCATGTGCTTTGTTCAAATGCCACCTATGAATATCTGACTTTTATAGTGTTAGGTTTTCCTGAAATACATGTACAGTGTCTAGATAACTGAGCAGTGTTAGCATCAATCTGAAAAACAAACAAAACCCTTCCCTAAGCACTTTCAGCAAAACCCTATCTCCTCCCTCCCTAGCCTAGAGGACACCCAAGCTCAGCCTCTCCCTGCACCTGGTTTCTAAGATCCTGGGGACTGACAGAAGGGTTCTCAAGGCTTCATCGAAATATTCATTTAATCAGTACTGAATCTCATAATGTGCTTGAAAGATTGGGAGATAGGATTGCAAATTCTAGATCTAACTAATCTCTCGCTTGGTTTCTTTTCTGCAAACTTAAGCAATAGCAAACCATAACTAGGCACTGGACTGAGCTGCCTCAGAGCTCCAGGGCCCTCCATCTCCAACTGCTAGTTTTTCAATAACCAGTCTGTCTCTGGCTGGCAGAGGGCACCAGGAACATGGATTCCAGAGCACAGGTGTCCCAAGACTTCCCTTCCTCCAACAACTTCCCCTTACCAGTGGACAGGCTGCCCAAGTCTTGTCCCTTTAACCAGCGATCAATAATACCTATCTGGTTATGAACTCATGAGGTAAGCAATGCCTGCATTCATTGCTGCCTAAGGGGGCCATGACTCCCAGGATTGCTGCTTCCTTTTGACATTAAGAGGAGTGGTATTTGTGGAATGGAAATACTAGATTGTGAGTGGCTAGTTTGACCTTGTGGCATCTTGTGTAGTAGGTAGAAAACAGGTAAACCTTCATTACTAGGCAAAATTCCATGGAGTTACCAAATTTTCAAATGCCAAAGCAGAAACCCCTAAGCAATGACTACAGCTGAGTTGTTTCTATCTGCTTTTCCCATCCCAGAGCCATGTCTTTCCCGGGCAGGCTGTGTAATCTACAGACTAAGTGCTGCAGAACCCAATAAGCAGTGGGGCGCCTTACAGCACATGTTAACTGACACCTTTCTACAGCGGGAGGTGAGGACTGAGGAAAGGAAAGAGGCACCTACTCATCACTCCAGGCTCCCGACCACTCCACTTCACCCCATGGGTTCCTGAGTCTGATCAGCTTCTCTGGACAGCCTCGGAAATCCACCTGCAAGTTCCACACACAGAAAGCAACTGAACTGCCAGGCTACAGCCACATGGAGCACCCAAAATTTCAAATGTCTACAAACCACACCTTTATTTTCTTTCCATGCATGTTTTCAAGCTTTGACTTTTTTCAAATCTCATTTGAATGAATGAAAAGTGTTTTGTCTACCACTAAACAATGTTATAGCTGCTTTAACTTAGATTTGGATTTTATAGTTGACTAAGTTGGACCTTGTTCTTAATACCTGAGACATTGTCAGAATAAATGCCTTCCAAACAATGCAATAACCTGGAAGTTAACATCTACTGATGACTTACTACTGGGCTAGGCACCATGCTAAGCGTTTCAAATGCACTATTGCCTTCTTTAAACCTCACAATTCTATGGACTGAGTACTGTTATTTTTACCTTTATTTTTGCCCAGAGAAGAGAGCTCGGAGGAGCTCAGCTACCCAAGATTACCTAGTTAGTTCTTCTATAGTTATTTCCTCTACACTGAAATATTATGTCTTTGAAAGAAGCTCACAAGACTCAGCAAGTAAAGTTACAAGGCCCAGGAGGTTCCTGAAAGTTACAAGATTCACAAGGCTCCTCCCCAAGGTCACAAAGGCAGTAAACAATTACACAGGAGAATAGACTTTAGTGGCTTCTACCTGCTTGTCTGCAAGGAGCACCGGGGAAGTAGCTTTTGTGGGTCATTAGTCATGCTGGGGTGCGCTTTTGGTGATGCAGTTGCCCTTGAATCCATGTTCCTGTAACCCCTCACCCACATTCCTATAAGTAACTCCAGTAAATTTACTGATTCTCTAAGATAGACTTGGGTAGAATCGTTCCTTTGAGCTGTCTTTGGTGCCCTGTCTGGAGTAAATAGATATTAGTTCACATCTCCCCTGGAAAAGTCATACAACACAATCATTAGTATATGGCAGATGCGGGGTGAGAAACTAGGCTGAGTGTCTCCAAAGCCTAAACTTGAAAATCCACACATAGAGTCCTGTGTGGTTTAAATATAGCTTGTCCTCTCCAAAATTCATGGTAAAATTTGACGACTACTCTGATGGGGTTTGGAGGTAGAGTTTTCAAGACATGATTAGATGATGAGATGGGATCAAAGTGTTAACAGGACTGGGTTCATTCTCATGATGTAAATTCTTATTCTCTCAGAACAGGATTAGAGTGTGGGTTATAAAGAAAACCCAGCCCAGCTTGCTGGTCTCTCTTCTGAATGTGGCCACTTATTCTTCCAGTGCCTGCCAAGTTATGAGCAGCATGGAGCCTTCTTGAAGCTACCTAATCTTAGACCTTACACCCTCTAGATCCATGAGATAAATAAGCCTCTTTATTTTATAAATCTCCCAGTCTCTGGTATTGTGTTATTGTAATATAAAATGGACTAAGATACTACCTCAGTTTAGTGAACACTTAAGTATAAGCCCCCATGTACCCCTGCATTTTCAGAAACATGGTCTCTGTGTCTCCATCATCTTCATCTCCATCAGGCACTAACCCAAAGTTTCCTCATACATATTCAACTCATATTTATGGTATTGACTTGATTTTTAAAAATACATTCAAGAAAGAGAGAGGCATGCAACGAGTGTACTTGTTGTAATAACCAGCAAGATCCAGAATACTCGCGACACGTCTCTTTTGGCATTGGCCATTGGGAAACCCAAAGCAAAATTGTCTTATCAGTTATAGCATTGTTTTTAGCTTAAACTGGTGTGTTTCACTTAGTTGAGGTCTGGTTGTGTCTATGTTCTTCATTGTAATCCAAGTCCTTCATATTCTTTTTGCAAGTAGAATATGGGGATGAAATCACAAAAGTTATCAGCCATGCTTTCTACTGGGGTAAGAGAATGGGGCAGCCTATGTGCCGTCTCACTATTGAATACCATCCTCAACACTGGAGTAGGAATTTATCTTTTTCCTTTTAGGGAATCCTATACATTTGTACTGCTTTACCTACATGAACACTTCTCTTGGACAATGTGTATAATCTAACTGACAGTCACTATAACTTGTTTGACCACACCTCAGAAAAGAGCTTGAATTTGATTAGAACTCAGAGAACTGAAGTGTTAAAGTGGCTACAATGTCCCTCTCCAAGAAGCTAAGAGTCAGAGCGTCCCTGTAGTGAGCATGAGCTAGCTACACATCTGTCCAGGGCTCTGTGCAATCCAGAGAGACCCATCCTAAGCAGCAAAAAGCAGCTCAGAAGCCCTCAGTAGTCATCTCCCGTCTTCTTCTTGGGGTGCCAAGATTTGTGGCAATGGCAGTTCATAATACCCTCCCACTGCTCCATCCTACCTCTTCCACTCCAGTGACAGAGTACGCATGACTCTTAACCAGGTTCTGTCTGGTGATGGCTTCTGTTTCAGCTGCACTGGAGACCTGGGTAGAAGAGAAAGTCCACTCAGGGTGATTGATCCTGACCTGTTTAGGGCCAGCCCTACATTGTTTCCTGAAAACATACCACACAACCAGGGGTCACCAGGGTGGGAAGAGTGTAGGGGCAGCAATGACCCACAAGGAAAGAGACCCATCTCCAGGCAATGCCCTTTAATAAACCAGGAAGGTTCTGAGTGGCTGTCAAGCCTGAATTATGACTCTGAGAACAGCACCGTGTTCCCTCAGGAAGACTACCCATTAGGACAGCAAGAGAGGAAGAGAGAGCCTCTGACTGCCAAGACCACATTTGCATTCCACATAGCCAACCCTCCTGTCAGGGCTCCACCCTCCTCCATTTTCTTCAGGGATCTCCAAGTCCATCAAATATTGACAACTATTATATTTGTTTGAATTCCAAGATTATTTAGCAAAAAGAAGATAGCAAAGGTAGAGCCTAGATCCAGGAAGCAAGGCTGTATTCTAGGGGCAGGTCTAGCAGGACCAAAGAAGTTCCAATATTTAGAAGATGAAATATTATAGTGTGACTAACCCCCATTCCTATCCACTCATTACCAGCTCCTATATGCTGTGGACCAATATGTCACCAAGTTTTCCCATTAAGTCCCAATCTGCTTGCCCAGAGCTTTCCAAGTTCTCTCTCCCAAGTCCTACCTCTCCCCTCCCAGAGGGAGAAGTCTCCAAGCTTACATCAATGGAGCAGCCAAGCAGAGACCCTGCACGGAGGGCTTTCCGGATAATGTGGTATAGATTTGCTGGTGACTTCTTCAGGTCATAAAATTCAGAGATGCCACCCGTGAAATCCTCAAATCCCTCAATTGTGGAGCCGCCAGTGAGAGCCTCATAGGAACCATTGAGTCTGTTGGGAAAGAAAGAAAACGTGCACCATCAGTAGCCATTAGCAACCCCAAATGAGGGCTGGGGAAAGGGACAATGTCAGGACATGGGCTGGAGATCAAGGAAAGCCTTTAGCTAACTTTGATAAGGAGCCTAGAACATCCATAGTTAACTATTTCAGACAGCAAGCTCAGTATTTTACTGGGAACAGATTTCAGATGCCTTCTCTCCAGGCCTTCCACTCCCTTTCAAAGTCAAGGGTAACCCTCCCAGAGTTGGCCCTGGGTGCTTGGGTTTCTGAGGATTCTGGGCACAGAGAGGAATGAGGAACCTTCCCTCAAAGCTGAGAGGCATCTTTGCTAAGGATTTTTCTAAGAACATAATTGGAAATACACTGGAGTGGCAGAAAACAGTGCCCAGAAACAAGACTAGTTCAAAGAACCCAAAAGAAGTCTTTGACCATCGAATGACTGTCAGGAGAATGGCACCCAAGAAATGGGCAGAAACTCTGTTGAGTTTGGAGTATAAGAACATTTATTTTATTCTTCACGAGCTTTCTTTTAAGTATTCATTCTGCCCTAAGTTCTTTTCTCAGGCTTTGAGAAAAGAAAAAGTTAACAACCAGAAAGGCATTCATGAGACAGAGCTGAGACTTTTTTAAAAGAGGATTTTACTTACTGATTTTTACAATAGTGGAGCTTGAACCAGGGCCTTGGGCATGCTAGGCAAGCATTCTACCCCTGAGCTACATGCCAGCCCCAGAACTGAGATCTTAAACTCTCAGTCCACATGTCCAATTCTCTTTATTTCTGAAGGATGCTTTCTGTCCAGCCTGTAGATGTCTGGGTGCTGGGAAAGACTTAGCCATGACACCCTGAGGGGGAGGCCCAGATGAGAGCCTTCAGAGAGGCTCTGAGGTCTGCTGACTTCTCGGTGCCCCACTTACTTGGCATAGGCTTTCTCCAGCAGAGCACTCCAAAATTCATTGCCTTCTTCTGAGTGTAGGAAGAGGAGCTGTCCATCCTTGGTGGGCAGCCTGTCATCAATCACCACCTCCACCCATTCTCCGTACTGCCAGAACTGTGGGTGGGAAAACACAGCACTTGTCACCCGCAGGAGCAAAGGATGCTCCTTTGCTGGCCCTCAGTGTGGGGGGGGTCCTCTGTGCTGCCACTGAGCAAGTCTCCAGCCTTTGTGAACCATAAGCTCCTTAAGAGCAGGATCTATGTGTCACTTATCCACATACAAGAGATGTCGCATGAACCAGGAAACCTCTGGTCTTTCTCTGAGTCTGTGGCATCACCCAGGGGTCAAGTGGGTGACCCAGACTCCCAACTCCCGGTCTTCAGTCCAGAGTGATTTCCTCATGGCCCCAAGGCCTAGAGGAGGAGGAGAGGGGATGGACATAAAGATGATCAGAAATGGTTCTCAAATGAAGTGCACCTGCAAAGGTTGTCACATGCCAGTAACTTGCTCTCCCTCAGAGTTTCTGACTCCGAAGTAAGACCTAAGATATGGAAAGTAGTGACAGAGGTCGTGAAGAAGGCCCGATACCTGAAAATGGAAGATGCCTGCATAGTTCTTCTGGAAGCTCTGGTCTCTAGGAACCACTCGGTAAAGCAGCTTTTCATTCAAGGTGAGGGAGGCAATGGCTGCCAGAAGCCAGCAGTCACCTGCAGAGCATCGGAGGGGACACAGACCGGTCAGCCAAGGCCCTTACTGACCTAGTTACTCTAGAGTTCATATCTGTTTTAGACTGCTCTTGATGCTATAACAAAATTCTTGAGGCCGAGTTATGTATAAAGAATAGAAATTTCTTTATCATGGTTCTAGACGCCAAAAAGGAGCTACTCTGTACTTACAAGCTGAGGTCTTGCTGAGTTTGTATGACAGAAAAGTGAAAGGGCTAAAGGGCCTAGCTATTTCTCTCACTCATTTATAAGAGCACTGATGTTATTTAGAAAGGTAGAGCCCTAGTGACATAACCACTCCTAAGGCCCCACCTCTTAATATGATCACATTGGGTCTTAAGGTTCAGCGTGTGAAGTTTGGAAGGACACAGTCAGGAGCACCACACCATCTCTCCTAAGTCAGGTAGTTAGGTTCTTCTTATGTGCACAGAGCACCTGGGGCCGCACTGGCAGGTTTTACGAGGGTATAGAAACTCTCCGTTCCTTTCTACTGCTGTGCCTCTCTTGCATGCTGACCATCTCACAGTTCCTACACTCCCAAGGAGTAGAGTGGAAATGCAAGAAAGAGAAAGGGGAACAAAAACTTCTCCCCTTGTTCCCTTCATTGGAAACTGATAAATTTGGTTTCAAGAAACATTGAAACTGTATATCCAGCCTATAGTGTATGCATGAGAGTGAGTAAGGGAATGCTCCTTATGGCCTTGGATAACAGGGAGGTGACTTCATGTGTGGTCTGTATAGAGTATGCTGGCCCTTTTATGTTTCAGAGTTCACCATGAAAGCCTTAATGCCTCATTGCTTAAAACGCCCTTGAGATATTGATTAACATTAAATCATCATAATTTGAAGCAGAAGAAATACAAGTCAAGAGGTTAAAGTCAAAGGTTAAAAATCCTGGGGCTTGGTGTTGGTGATGGTCACTTTGGATATTCAAGCATGTTTAGAAGCAAATAGAAAGCTCCCTTCTGTGTGAATCAGATTTCCTAGCCCATGCCCTGAAAGCCATCTCCTGAGACAGTGATGCTCTTAGTAACATCCTCCAATAATGAATCACGGGCACTGGACGCTATTTGCTTTCCTCCTTGGGCGGAGGAGGGGACTACCATCTTGGGAATTATATAATCTTGCTCATCCATGGGTGTGTTCATGATACTGCAGTGTCTGAGGGTGCAGGGTCCCTCCCCCAGATCATGTAAAGGAATGTGTCATCCTCCTTGGGCGGAGGAGGGGACTACCATCTTGGGAATTATATAATCTTGCTCACATCCATGGGTGTGTTCATGATACTGCAGTGTCTGAGGGTGCGGGGTCCCTCCCCCAGATCATGTAAAGGAATGTGTCATCTTACTGCATAATCCTGTCTCTTTCCAGCTTCCCTACAGATCCCTGGCCCTAGGAGTCTAGGCTTTGGTGAAGACGTCATTGTTTCTTTTAGTTCTAAAGCCTTCCTGTGTGCCCCAACCTTCATAACTTCCCACATCCAAACTATGAACCTCTGGACCTTGGCCAAAGAAACCTCTTTCTGCAGTGACATCAATACGTAAACTGCATAACTGGTCGAAGTGTTGAGAATGAGTGACTACTGAGCGTTCGGCCCTAAATGTGGCATCTGTGCCAACCCCACCCCTAGGCTTGGGAAACATAGTGGAAGAAAGCGGAGAAAGAATGCAAGGGCCAGAGGAGGGGAGGATTGCTGTGAAACGCTGTCTTCTGGACACGACAGGACCATCACGCCCATGAACTCACTGCAGCTGTGGTCACCTGCACACCATCAGGACAATAAGATGGTCAACATTCCACAGGCAGCACTAATTGAATTCAGTGTGTTAGAGGAAAAAGGAGACGACATGAAGATGAGAAAGGAATGTGTTGGGGGAAAATGGGAGGGAGGAGTTTGTGTAGATGTGATCAAAAGACATTGTATACAAGCATAAAACTGTCCAAAGCAAAGAGAAGACATTCAGTAAAATAAATAATCGGAACCTTTCCTATTTCATTTCAGAGGAAGCATTTCAAAGGCTGTCCAAGATCTTTATCTAACTGTTGTTTCTCCTATCTAAACCCTGGGGCTACAGCTCCTTTCACAGCCCAGGAGTGAACAAACTGGGCTTTTCACACTCAGATTGCTTGAGCAAGTAGTCAGTAAACTATGACCCAGGACCCATCTCTGAGGGTCTGCCGCCATCAGCAAAAGCTGTATCACCCCTCGCCTTTCTCAAAAAAGAGGCTCATGATTTCATCCCAAATGTGCTTCCCTTCAAAGTTCCTCTTGGGATGACAGGCATTCACTCTCTTGCTCAAAACACTCTAGATACTTGTTTGAGGGGTCTGCCTTAAAACCTGTGGCACTTGGGCTAGGGGAGGGAGGGGAGGGAAGAAGGGAAGGGAAGAAAAGGGAAGCTGAGAAATATCTCAATAGACAGACTTCTCTCCAGCCACCTTCCAACCCCATTCATCTTGGGGTAGCATCCTTCCTCATAAGCCTAAGTTTTCTTTTCCAATGATGTATGCCACAATTGGCTGCCAGAGACTTTGTACCTACTGTCCTTTTTCCCTTCCACCTAGGAAGTCCACAAGAAGGGAAGGGAAGAAAAGGGAAGCTGAGAAATATCTCAATAGACAGACTTCTCTCCAGCCACCTTCCAACCCCATTCATCTTGGGGTAGCATCCTTCCTCATAAGCCTAAGTTTTCTTTTCCAATGATGTATGCCACAATTGGCTGCCAGAGACTTTGTACCTACTGTCCTTTTTCCCTTCCACCTAGGAAGTCCACAGTATGCCTGGAGCCTCAGAGCCATCTCACAAATGCAAGGCTACAGAATGGGATGAACGTCCACACACTTGGGAGAGCAGAACAGAAGCACAGTGTGTGCCTGAGTTTCTAAGAACATGACTGACAGCGACACCAGCCCAGGCCTTACACCTCCAGGCTCCTTGTTACAAAAGAAGTACCAGCTCCTCCCCGCTGCTGTTTAAACCACTACAGTTAGGTCCAATGGTACTTGTAGTCAAGATTTTCCTGGTACAATGAGAATGATTATAAAGTGATTAGTATGCCTCATAAATTGATCCTGAAAAACAACATCCACTAAAGGAGTTCTTAAAAATACTGGGATTAGGGGCTGGAGAGATGATTCAGTGGTTAAGAGCACTGGCTGCTCTTGCAGAGGACTCGGGTTTGAATCCCAGCGCCCACTTGGCAGCTAACAATCATCTATAACTCAGTTCCAGGGGATCTGATGGCCTCTTCTGTCCTCCACAGGCACTGAATGACACAGATGCACTTACATCTATGCAGGCATAACAGTCATACACATAAAAATAAATAAATAATAAAAAATATTTGGATTAGGGATAGTTGAAATACATAGATTATTCCATGCACTGGGCTAACTGTCCCCTGGGGTTACTGGTTGGGGATGTCTGTCTGGTCTCCACAGAGTGTCGTGGCATCTGGAGGTGCAGAGAGTAAGGATTTGTATATGGAGCTCGACTGACTGAAACAAGGAGGAGGGAAGATTGAGAAAGTCTTAAGTGCTTGTTATGCCCCAACAAGCATGGATATGCTTCTCAGGACATGAATGATGCTCTTGTAAGGGACTGTGATGGTTTTAATTGTCATCTCGACACAATCCAGAATTGTCTGGGAAGAGAGTCTCAGTGAAGGATGTCTGGATAAGGTTGGCCTGTGAACATGTCTGTTGCCTTGATGCTGTCAGCCAATGTGGAAAGACCCAGCCTAAAAGTGGAAAGCACCATTCACTAGAGCAGAGCATAGGCATGCATGCATCCATCCTCTCTCTGTTCTTGACTGTGGATGTGACTCGCTGCCTTGAGTTTCTGCCTTGACATCCCACAATGATGAACTGCAACCTGAAACTGTAAGGTAAGTAAACCCTTTCACCCTTAAAGTTGAGTTTCTCAGGACATTTTATCACAGCAACAGGAAATGAAACTAAGACAGAGACAGGCGACATATGTATCACCATCCATTTCCTCTTACTGTAACAGAATACTTGAGACTAGGTAATTTATAAAGAAAAGGACTACCACTAGCTCATAGGTCTGAAGGATTGGAAGTCTAAGAGCATGGAACCAGAGAAAGTCTCATGGGATTAAGTAGAAGGGCAAGTGAGCACATAAAGAACAAAGGGGAGAGGACCAGCGTCCTGCCATGGCTAGCCCATTCTCTAGACAAAGGCACCAGTCGCTCCTGATGATCTCAGCACTTGAGAGATTGCCACCTCCCAAAGCCAGCACACTGTAAGAGTCGGGGTGGGGGCAAACCCTATCCAAACTATTTGAAAGAATCATTGTGAGCCAAGATGTGAGACAGACAGACAGACAGACAGGCAGGCAGAGACAGAAAGAGACGAAGAGACAGAACTATAAGCAGAACAATATTCATATTGTCAAGAAGAGGGAGAGAACAAAGACAAACTGGGGGATGAGGCATCTGGGGTTCCCCTGGCCCAGCTGAGTAGGACTAACTGATGAGACTGAAGTGCAGAAACTGTCCTCTCTATCAAAGACAGAGAATGAACTAGAGGGCCCTTTGTGCATGGCAGGCAGGAGCAGCTCTGAACAGAAGTGGATCCACTAGAGGGTGCCCTACGGAAAGCCTTTCCCTGTAGCATGGCCTCCCTGAAGCAAACTGAACCGCAAAGGCCTGAAGAAGCTTAGGAAGGAGTAGGCTTCATTTGGACCATAAAGGGCCAGGTATCCAAGGACCCACGCTAACCAGGTGAATACATCCCTTGAGTGGGAATTTGAAGACCCCAAGACCTTCTGTCATCATTGGTTAAGGAAGAACTTTGTCTTTCAAGATAAAAGGATACCCACCCAGGCTATCCTTCGGGAATTAATGAAAACAGAGGCTCAACAGAGATGTATAGCTGACTGTTTACAGCTTAGGGTTTCATGAAGAAGGTGAGTAGGAATAAGAAATCCCAACCAAGTGTCGCCCAAGTTCTCTTATGGT